AATTCGTAAAGTATATAGCTGAATCAACTCTCACAACTAGGACTCCTGGAACTCTGTTGGCATCAGGATATTGTTCAATGTTCCTGTAGATTGTAGTTCGAGGAAGATTCCCCAGTATAGTTGTTCTTGGTCTTGTCACTTGTAGAAGAATCTTAGCAAATGATATGAAAACCTATAAAGCATAAATTTCATAGTAAAAAATGAGAAAAATCATTAATCATATAAACTTATTTTTTTTATAACTCATTATAAAATTAAAAAAAGAAAAAAAAAATGTAGTTGTGACTTTGTCCTTACAGCAATCAAGAGACCAATCTCAACTGAAGCAAATATCACACCAAGAAATGCTCCCATGCAAGCAATGAAATCAAATTTATCAACCTTCCAGATGAGAAAAGCTGCTTCGTAGTCAATCAGACCAATTACAGCAGAGATGATGATCGATGATAGAATAGCGTTCGGAGTATACTTAAATAATGGTGTGATAAGCAATAAAGTGAAGAACACCACAACAGACATAACCAAGTTGGACACTGGAGTTTGGCAACCAGACATGTAATTGACAGCTGATCTTGAAAATGATCCTGAGACAAAGTTAAGACCTTGCTTATCAAACTAAAATGAAGTAAACTTAATGTGAAGCAGTTTCAAAATTATAATTTGGTCTTTTAAATTTATAATGAAAGTATCACCTCAAAATGGCCACGGATTTAGGATAACTCAAAAATCAGATCGGCTTTTAGCCTGTAGAGTTCGGATTGTAGTTCACAAACCAATTAATGAATCAAGACTAAGGGTTCGTTTGGGACAGCTTTTTTAATGCTTCTTAAAGCAGCTTTTTAGTAAAAAAAATAATTTTTATACAAGAAAGCTGCTTCAAGAAACAATAAAAAAGCAGTCCTAAACGAAATCTAACTCTCAGATTAAACTTGAATTGACTAGCTAGCTCGTGATCAAACTTCGCTCAGCACAAGATTGAATTGAATGATTTTGAACCAATTTTGTGCAGTCAGGGTCTACTCGACTTGAGATTAGGTCATTAATAGTCCTAACCAAAAAATTATTATGGTGCCTCATATGATGTAAGCTATTTATTATTCTTTAAGCTTGAGACTTACCATTTTGCAGAAATACTATGGTCAAAAGTCTATTCAAATCCTGCCTTATTCTTCTAAATGAAAACTAGTTGTAACCACAGAAATCAATTTACACAAAACCCTTCCAACACAAATTCTGTGATGATAATCAATTCCACAGTTCAGTAAGAAATATAATGATTTTTGTGAATGTCTGTGCATTGAAGATGAACTTCTAGGAGGGTTGATATACTCGTGAAGTCCGCCGCCAAATTAATAAACTATTAACATAATATGGAGCCTTGTCCAATTCCTAAATATGCACAAAAAATGCAGAAAGCATGAAGATATAATTATGTTGTACCTGTTGCAACATAGCATGAAGTCATCGAGCCAACCACATTCATTGTCCCAAGAGCAACCATCTCTTTGTTTCCATCCAACTGATAGTCCTTCATGGATGCAAATGTTCTTCCAATCGCCACAGCTTCCTGTCAAACTTTAAGCAGTAAGAAGCAAATAAAAAGGCTAAGTTCTTAAAAGACGGTAGGATTTAATAATTCTTAGAGTACCGTTAGTGCAATCATGCCAGCAATGATGCCAATTTTGACTCCTTTCCCTAGAAAGGGTCCCGAAAAATATATTAGCTCCAAAGAGGAGGGATTGATTCCCTTTTTTATGTGTTTCACCTTGAAGATGACAGAATAACACTTGATTTAGTATCTTATATTGGAAAAAAAATGAGACAATAATTTTGATTTGTGTAAAATGTCTCACTATTTGTACTCCGTATCTTTCAGCATGAAAAATATAGACAAAAAACGTCGCTAAAACAACAGAGATAAGCGGCGCAATTGCTGGCAGCCAAAATAACTTTCTGTTCTTCTTTCCCTGTTTATAGAAGTTTGGTTGTTCTAAGACAATATAATATGCCAATCAATAAAATTGAGCAGAAATGTTTCAGTGATTTTTACCATATATTTAGCAACAAGAAGGAATACCAAGAATATCGTTCCAATGAGAATTGTTGGCCAGTTCCACTGAGCAAAAAAAGTAAAATAAATGGAACAGTTCAGAACTGAGACCAAGAAAACTGGGGAAAAAATGCTATAAACAAGAATACCAATGACTTAACAAATTACCCCGTGAGGAAATGGATGAAAAACCGATTTCATTACAGAAATGATGTCTGTTTGCTTTGTAAATTTCTCTATGCCAAGGAAACCTTTGAGTTGCTGAAGGCCAATAGTAATGGCTGCCCCAGCCATAAATCCAACTATTGCAGCGTGTGAAAGGAAGTCTATAAGAAATCCTAGTCTGCAAAACGTAAATTAAAGCACAGGAATAAGATCAAAACATACTTGTCTTCTGTTAAATCTAGAGTTCAGAAGTTCATCTTATTTATCTTTTTTACCTTAAAAATCCTAGCAATGCTTGAGTAATACCAGCAAAGAAGGTAGCTGTGAATGCAAGCCTTAGGTATTCCTCTTTGTTATTTATGGGATCAAGCTCATCTTGAAGAAGGGACCCTAACAAAAGAGAAACTACTGCTACAGGTCCAATAGCAATGTCTTTTGAACTTCCCATGAATGCATAAATAAGTGGTGGAACAAAGCTAGAATCTGCAAAATTGAAGAAGAAAATAATAAACAAAAAAAGTTACGACTATTTATTCACATGAAGATGTAGTCAGTTTATCAAATAATCATTAAGCAATGTTAATAAATACTTACAAAGACCATGCTGTGGTTCTAGATTTGCAAGCTTTGCATACCCAATATCCTGTTTCGCAATGACATAACGTTAGTGTAATAACATGAAAATTATGAAAATAATTTTAAAATAAATATATGAACAATTTGGATATTCTAAACTTGAGTGATGCGGCGCTTTGCTTGAGGGCGCAGCGAAGCTAGGAGGCGCCAGGAAAGAGCTACCGTAATGCTGAGCACTTTGGAATTTTTGAAAATAATCTGTGATGCTGGGTCATGGGAGCGCTGTGACGCTAGGCACTAAACAATATTTTTATATATTTTATATGGATTAAGCCTTCCCCCTCCCCCTATTCTCTTGGCTTGCCGGGTAAGGAATTAGAGGAAAAGGAGGAGAGAGAGAGAAGAGAGAGAAAGCTATTCAGGTGATTTCCATTGCACATTATTTGCCTATCTATCTTTTTTCTTCCGAAATTTTTCCAACATTCACCATAAATCCTCAGGTTCCAATTTCTTAAGCTTGCCTACTAGTAAACTCAGGTAACTTCCACATACAATCTTGGATCAAACACTTACGATTATGATCTTTCTTTTACGCTGTTATTTATTTTAGCCTTCATAGAGATTAGAATTTAAATGCACCAAATTTAACCCACATCAAGATTTTATTAAAATAAGACCTAAATGTCATTAATTAATTTTTTATTTAAATATGTCATTAAACCAAACATTTGACATCTTCTAATAGTATTTATATTATACAACAGATATATGTGAACCAAACAATTCAAGTCATTGCATAAGCTTACTTGAGGTATGCAGAGGCTTGCAATGGTTAAACCAGCAATGACATCTCCTTTAAGTTTAATCAAATTATAATTTCTTCCCCATTCAAAGATTGGAAACAAAAACTGCAACCCAAGCATGAACTTCTTTGATTTAGGTTGGTCCTTATAAGGCTTCAAGGGATCATCAGCGAAGAATGTTTCCTTTAATCCATCAGCGAATTCTTTAAGGAACTTCTTTCTTGGAGGGCATCCAACCGTGTAAGTTGATGGAGATTTCTCCATTTGTTGCTCTGATTCATATTGACTGATATCATCTGCTTCATAGTTCTTGACTTCGTTTGCAGTAACAGGATGACCCATCTCTGTATATACAAAATTGACTGGGGCACTTTG